TTTACTCATCTTTTTCCACTACTAATTAAAAAAAATTTTAAAAAGAAGTTGTTTATTTTGAAGAAAAGGAGCAAGGCACATACCACAAGAGAACATTCTAAGAGAAAATGAAAAATAAAGACATGGAGGCATTTCCCAAAGGCATGGGGAAATATAAATAGTCTTGGGTTCCTTGTCATAGGGAAGAAATACTTGGTGTTACTTTTATTTTTAGAAAGAGGGAGAAGTTATGAGACAGCCTGATATGAGCCGGCTGTCTGAAAATATCTGTCATTTTTAATGTATACCCCAGATATATCTGACCAGTCTGCTACTCATGTGAAAAACATGAAAACAGAACATGTCTCTGTGGAAGGGTTCATCTATCCTGATGCAGGTGTCCAAAAGTTAAATACCTTGGTGCAAACTGCTCACCACAGACTCTTTCATTTGGTGGAGGGCAAAAAAGCATCATGAGTTGGTAATCTGTCTCATGCTAAAATAAGTTGCCTGAGGTAGCCTAGGAAGATGTAAAATGGGTGACTGGCTGAGGCATTCGTGTCTGAAATGCTCTGAGATAAATCTTGTTTACAAGAAACTCATATTACTACATTGCTTTCAAAATGGAAGGCTGAGCAGACCAGAATGTTTGCTATGTACAAGTTAATTTTTGGAGGGTAAATGCTTTGCAATGTAGAGATCAAATACAATCTTAACATCTTATTAAAATATATTAGGGCTTATAAAGCACATTGTATTTTGGAGTAATAATTTCAAAACTTCTGAAAAAGAAACATGTCATTGGTAGATGCAAAGTCATGTTTTCCAGCTGATCCACAATGACAGGTCTTTAGTTGAACAAGAGTTCATGTACACTGAATTAATGCAGAATGGTAAATTTTCTGTATTCATCATTATATAATAAATTTGGGAAATGAATTTAAGTCAGAGACTATAAAGAAGCTTTGTGAATTGTAGCTTCAGAACAGAAATCTCAAACCAAACAGTGTTCTTGTAATTCCTACAACCTAGTCATGATTCTCTGTATTTTGGTCAATTACATGAACTGTATCAAGTAAAGCAGTAACCTGGGTGTCAGAAAAGAATTTACAAAAATGAAATTTCTACTTTAATTTAAAAGACTTTCAATTTTACTTTTTAAGTCTTGAGACAATAACTGATCACAGCCACCTTTGCCAGGTCTGAGTAACTCCCAAATCGATTTATCTGCACGAGTAGTTGGTGAGAAGCAGAAACCATTGTCAGCAACATCTCTCTCGGTTGTCATTCCCCTGGATGACACTGCAGAACTGTATCACCCTTAAGAGCAAACCCTGAATTTTGGGATGTTCTGTGTTGCACAAGGGGCTTAATGACCACTATGATCACTCAGACGTCCTGAAGGTAAAGGTCTAAAAGAGCCATGCTCTGGTAGGAAAGAAAGTCTTGACATTTAGGAGCTGAAAATGTCACCTCTAAAGAGCTGGAAAATTTTGAGGAGCGAATTTAGAAAGTAGTTTGCAGAAATTTAGGTTCACTCGTTGTGTTACTAGTTTCAGTGAGGTCTGCTAACTATCATTAGCACAGTGTGAATAATTTTAATCTAAAGGGTAGACAGCCTTCTGCCACTTCAAATGGGTACCAAGCAAGAAGATGATGGAGAGATCAGATAAAGGTATCTGATTACCTCCAAAAGGTGCCCTTTTCTCTTATTAAATCTTCTGTGAGGTACTACTCAAGAATCTATGTGCCAGGCCACTCTGCTTATGCTAGAAATAGTCTTCTTATTAGATCTTTTACTGCAGCAGCAGTGTTTTCTGGCATGTCCATATCCACACCTGTGCATCTTATCCATACAGAGCATGAGAAAATGGCTTCCCATGCTTGACCCGTAGACCTTTGTACATGGGACAATGCACACTCATTGTAGTCTTGTTCTTCAGGGTTTTTTCTTATATATAATATGGTAAAAGTGTCATGTCATTACATCCTGTTGCTATGAAGTATAATGTTATAATAGTATCAGAGCAAATACAACAAATCATATATATGTGCATTTGAGATGTAATTCTTCAAAGAGCAGTGAACATGAAGGTGGCTGGACGTATTTAAAGTAACAAGGGAGTGCAGACTCCATAGAAAGTGTTTGCAGAAATGTTCCTTCTCCAGTACAGCTTCTCCTTTTTCAGCATGCAAATGATGGAGCAATTAGCAGCGATGCAGATTTAGATAACCTCTGCCTTCCATCACAGTTTATTACTTCATTTGTAAATTAAACAGGAGAGGTTCACAGTGTGTTTTCCATGTAAAGTAGTTTAGAATTTTTTGTTTCTCTGTCAGACACAGTGAAAAAAAACAGTGGCAGAAGCTGATGCCTGTGTATGTAGCTGTGGCAGAGTTGTGATATCTTTTGAGAAATAGGGTGTGAACATATAATTAGAGGCTACAGGAGACGTTTTGCACTTTGTGGCTGAGGTTTCAAAAGAAATGGAGCTCCTCATTTCTGCGGCTCTGCACTGGAGAAGCTTGTTCTGAAGGAGACACTTGAGGGTTTTTTCCTGGGAGGACTCCTACGTGTACTAGAAATAGCCGGATGCAACATGCCCTAGTTACGGCCCGTGTACAAGGGGCGGCACATCGAGGACGATGTGGTGGGAGCAAGCCAGCGCCACAGCCACTGGCAGCAGGAGAGGCATGGCAGCGACAGCTCCAGCTGCTCCTCTGGCACCTGCAACCCATAAACAGCACTTGCTTGCACAGAAAAGGAAAGCGTTTACATTGTCTTCGCTGTTTTCCTGAGTTTGACAGGAGGAGAGAAAAAGTGGGAATAGGGATATGGCAATGAAGTCCTTACCTTGGGCTTTGCCTCTTACCAGGGCAGGGAAGAGAAGGGGTCCCTGCTCTTTCACATTGCCCAGGACCCCTCTGTCCTGCCTGGCACACAGCAGGATGAGTGGCACTTGGGTTAATCACAATGCCAGGAACAGTCCTAGCATTTTCCCAATAACAGCGTGAGATTGGGCCCTCTGCCTTGTCTGTCACACACTTTGGGGGAATTGTGAACTGGTCTTATAGGACTGTTTGACCAAAGTAATCTTGGCACGAGGGGCAGTTACCTGTCTCCCTGTAGCGTGAGGAAAAAAAGCTATAGAAAAATGCAAGTTTATCCCCTCAAAGGTTGGCAGATGATGTAGTCAGCTGCAGTGTCTGAAATTCTGGGATTTTACTGAGTAAAAAACTTACTGAGTAAGTTTTGGGTTACGTCCCATTAAGTGAGACCTTAGGATCCTTTAAATACACTTATGTGATTATGGCTAACCCAGTATAGCTAAAGCTGCTTTATTAATTACATTGACATGTTGGGTTGTAACATGCTAAAAATACCAGTGCTGAAAATCTTGGTCATTTCTTTTTTTCAGCACGGCTGTGTCCTTTATACGTATCATCAAATCACATGCTGGAGCTGGACCAGGGTTATCACAGACAGGGCTTCATTATTTGAGCAAAGGCATTTCTTTGTTATTTCAAAAGGAAACAGAAGATAGGCGATAAGCTAACAAACTCACAATGGGTGGAAGTTCATTAAAAATATATGTCCTTGTTGTGTGCATGATGTATTTAGATGTTAAGTCATTTGGAGCAGCAGGTGTTTGTACAGTGTCATTACAATGGGGCCTCACGTGTCACCAGAATTCCAGAGCTGATGGCAATCAAAGACGGCTTTTTGGCTTGCTGGCAAGGTCGTTGAGGTCAGGGAGATGGTGCTTGTGTACAGAGAGCAAGGCAGTGCAACTGTGAGGGGCAGTGGGGGTGATGGGCAGGGGACTGGGATGAGCGCCTGCCACGCAGAGCTGAGCGTGTTTCTTTTTGGTGATGTGTATGTCAGAGGTAGTATGTTGCTGAAGTTACTTTCCAAACACCCTTTTTTCCCTCCCTTTTAATATAAATATTGCATTAAGCAGTGGTCTAGCTTCATAATACACAAATAGGTCCAAGTGCTGTCTTGACTGTTTTGCATACCACCTGCAAATACAGCTTAAAAATATGCCAAGTGCCAGATGAAACAGGAAGAGCAGGCAATACACTCTTAATTCCTTGACTCATGCTTAAGTCTGGAGCACAGGATAGCAATGGCATGATAAAATATCACACCCTGCCTTTTGATATCACTTTCACCGACAGCCATTTCAGACAGGTGATGGAAATCTGAACCATTTTCCAAAACTGCGAGCAGGCAGAGTTGGTTACTAAGCACATTGTGCCTTTAACCTTCACAATATTGGAAGCACGAGTAAAATGCACCTGTAAAATGATTGCTTCACCCCATTTGAGACACCCTGAATGTAAAGCAGCAAGGTTAGTGACTAGTTAGGTGTACAGATATACCACTATGGTAATTCCCCTAGAATCCTTGCCATAAGGAAGCGTGAGAAAACCTCTCAAGTTCACTGATCTGCAGTTAATTTTTTTAGGGAATTAGCAGCTGCTGGAATTGCGTTGAAAAGCCACTTTTGCTTCGTGAAAACACCCAGCCCGGTACATCATTTTGCTTGTTAGTGGCAAGGAGCCCTGCCTCCACTGTTTGCCCTGGTCATTCCTGACTTTCTGGGAGCAACGGATGCACTTTGAGCTCCTCCGGGAGGTGCAGGGCTTCCACCTCAACTGATAGGCTGGGTGCTGAGGATTCAGCACTGGATTCAGCACTGCCCTGCAGTATTTTCACACATAAAGTACCCCCTCTGCGTACTCTCATGCACACGAAGACCTGTGTGCAGGGGAAGACAACCAGGTGTGTGAGACACAAACGCCTCCAGGCAGCCTGAGGACACGGGACGCTGTCCTGCATGGGATGCTGTCCCACATGGGCTCTGTCCCACTCGGGATGCTGTCCCACACAGGATGCTATCCCACAGGGGATGCTGTCCTGTGTGAGCTCAGTTAGGCCAGCGCCGGCCGTCTGGGCGCACTGCTCTCCCCGCGTCACCTAAAAGCGCGATCACGCTTTCCCTTTCTCCCAACAGATAATCCTGAAATAGCCGGCAGGAGCGGAACCGAGTGTCACGAAGCCTCCCTGCGGACGGCCAAGCACGGCTACTGTACATACTACCCCGTCTCCTCCTCTCTAGAGTTGCCACAAACTGCATGCTAAGTCAAGAATTTGTTCTTATGGACAAATCAAAAACTCAAAAAAGCTAGTGCTGCTATGTCATATATGAATATTAAATATGGTATGCTTACTATACTCCAACCTAAAATAGTTAACTACCTGATACCAGCTGTGATGTTTCAAGACATAAAGGATAACATTTAGTTTTAAAGATTTTCTAAGCATAGTTTAATTATTGCAAATATTGTCGTTTCTCCATAACTACACCTAACGGAAATGGTCCAGATCAGTCAGTCTCGTGAGATTCCATGTTTGTGAATCTTTCGAGCTCAGCAATAATTGAGTTGCATTGGCTAAAAACTTTCCCCAGTTGCAGGTTTAATTTTCACCCAAACTATGATTCGGGGTTTTCTTCTCAATAAAAAAAAAAAAAATCTTGGTTTTGCTCCCTTGGTGAGTTGACTCCAAGACAGAGGAAGTGAAACACAGCCCGGTGTCCTGCACATCATCCTGCCAATCTGATATTTTTAGCCAGAAGTCCAAAGTAAAGCACAAAGTCTTTAGATGCACATGGTTGGTGTTTGACTTGTATGGAGAAGTTGCATTTGAATCATAGCAGAATAGCAGAAGAAAATTTTTAAAATTTTGCACAGTATGAACTTCATACCCCTTTCAATCCCCAAAAGAACAAAGTCTTGAGAATATTATTTTACGACTATATTTATAATGTTTTTAAAATAGACTTTGCAGAAGTGCCTAAATTTTTCACATCAGACTTGATGAAAGTGAGCCTGATGCCAACAGTCAAATCTCACCGGACGTGAATAATCTTTGAAACTCATAGTCAGGTTACCAAAAAGATCCAAGCTGTTAAGAAGTAATTTCTAGAAGTGTAAAATCAAACAAAACAAGACCAAACTAACGAAAGAAAAGGCAAAAAAGAAGGCTGTAGATGAAGAGATTGTATGATACTCTAATTTAATTAAAATTCAGTTGAGTCACTGAAACTTCATAGGTGACTTTAATCTAGGCTATTAACTGAACACTAAGAATGTAGAATGAGATTCAGTTTAATAAATCATTACTGTATTTGCATTTTTTTAATTGGATTATAAGATTGTAACCAGATTAGAGTGGAGAAAAAATAGTTCTTTTGTTTTCCTTTAAAAACATATTTTATGTCACAAAAGTATGAAGATATCTTTAATACAATTATATACATGTTATATATACATACATACATATATATGGATGAAGCAGATTTTAATGTTGTTTACTTTTTTAAATACTTTGTTGATTTACAAGGTAATTATATATGTATAATTAAAATTTCATTTGTTTGATTTGAGATTTGTTTCAAGCACTATTGTACCAAATATTTCATATTTCACATTTTATATGTTGCACATGTATCACATAAATGACATAGTTTTTAAATTATTGTTTAAAAAAACAAGACAGCTGTTATAAGTGGATATTATGTATAATTGTTTGCAGCATAAGTTTTCTATGTGGACATTACTAGTGATTGCAGTATTTTAACTTAACCTCTTCAGATTGATTGTAAACTATTTTAAACTTTGGCAGTACTGCCTGTTCTGAACGACTGAAGGCACTAACCATGTTATTATTTGTCTAGGAAATTATTTTCCAGGCTAAATCTTGTTTGTCCGATGTCTAATTACTATCTATTTATATATAAAGCTGGAGATTTGATCATCCGAAAGAAAGAAAAAAATTACAATTCGGTTGTAAAATTAACATAGTGCTTGTAACGTTGCGTTAGTTTAATTTGTGGGAAAATAATGTATCTTAACTTGTTACTTTAGAAGTTAAGGTATCACCATTATATACTATTAAAACACTAATATTTGTAGACTTTCTCAGTCATTATAACTAGGTAGTTGACACTGCAACTTGCCTATATCTGTCAAAGTTGTTTTTATTTTTTTATAATAGTTAATTTAGGCATTTGGGTAGCTTATTGTATAATACTAAATGGTAAATTATCCATGTTTAAATATTTTATGTAGATAACTCTTCAAGACATCGTTTTGTGTGAACTTTTTATGTTTCAAAATTACTGTTATTCTATGTTTTTTACAATTAATCCAATATTACTATTTTTTGCCCATGGATGACGAAGCTTCAGATACATCAGGTCTTTCATTCAGATAAACTGACAGACAAAAAGAGAAAATGTATTTTTAATAAGAGATCCACTTTCCGACTTTATGACTTTGTAATATTCCTGAAAACTGTACAAGTACAAACCTATGCTAACAGTAAGGAGGCAATTACAGAAATGTGCAAATACGTGTACAACAGATTCTGCATTTTATTTATTTATAAAGTAATTTTATAGACTATTTCAAAATTTGGGAAGATCTAAAACTATTTTTCTGTATAAATATTATTTGCCAAAACTTTGTTTATATTTTAAAAAAAAGTCTAATGAAAATGATTAAATTTTAAATGCTTTGTTTAATTAAAGTAATACAACAAGAAATATAACCCCCTAAAAGAACCATGAGATGGGCCAACACGGAGACAGTGAATACTGTAGCTGGGACATGGTTTCAAGCAACTTGAGATGTCTCAGTGCTTATTTTCTTCAAAGGATACAGCACCTCACCAAAATACCTTTTTGTTTGCCTCTCTCATCCAGCATAATTGACGACACGTACAATGAATATTTCGGTAACAGTTAAAAGAAACCCCTCCATTCACTCTTTTCCAGCATATATAATTACTAGTGGTCTGTTAAATAGCCATTCGATTTCTGTTGTGACGTTAAATTCATTCACCCAATGTACAACCACTGAAATAAAAAGAAGCATTTTAAAATGAGAGCGGAGTCGGAGCGATCCTTTCTTGTGGTGGCGTGCTCTGGGAAGAGGGACCTGGAGTAACAAAAAATAGCCTAAAGAAGGTGGGGGAATCTTTTTTTTTTTAATTTTATTTTTTCCTTAATTGCTTCTTCTTAAGGTAGCAGATCCGTTAGTGCAGTCCCCAGGTGCAGGACGTGCAGATGCTGTGTGAGGAAGCCCATGCCCTTCTCCTGCCGAGGATGCAGCCTCCAGCAGCCATCCCCAGCCCTTCCCGCCCACCCGTGCATGCCGGGCTGCAGGCAGGTACTGGTTATCCCAGGGGTGTGGCTCGCAATTGCCTGACCATTGTGGGAATTTTTGGTGGCACATCCTTTGCATCTTCTTTTCTTTCCTACATCTTGAAGAGTGTTACACCAACAAATAATCCCTGTTATCTACTAGTTCCTCTGGAAAGAGCAGTATCACAGAGTTGTGTGCCCACTGGCAGAGATTGCATGGCAAGCTAGTGACAGAGGAGGGATTAAAACCTCTGGCTAGCAGCTCCGTGGTTTCTTCACGCTGCCTTCTCTGATTTATTTTTTTAAATGCTTTTAAAGAAAGGAAATATAGTTCCTGCAGAATCAAAATGAGTTTGTGTCATAAAATTGTCTACACTTACGCAGCACAGGGCTGGTTTGAAAGGAGCCCAGAGTCACAAGTGATGTGGAAAACCACCAGGTCAACCAGTCTATTTGGATGTATCACATATGCACTGAGCCAGAAGCCTGCTGAGAACGAGTGTGTGGGATGGAGAGGAGAAACAGGGTGACTTGCAGGGACAGGGAAGGACTGGAGCATTAGAGGGCTGCAAGGGCATTGTAGAGCAAAAGCAACAAATTATTAAAATTCAACTCCTAATGATTCAGGGGCGAGAAGCTTGTTTGTTGACACTTTCTTATGTTAAACCCCACCCTGGACAGTTGTCAGCTGCCAAGAAGGGTCAGGACATGCCACTTTTCTTGTCTAAAAGCTGCTTTGTTTCTTGTCGACTTTGACACTTCTTGGCATTGGAGAAATGCTCATGGAAGCTGTGAGTTTTCAGGTGCCACAGCAAACCCAGTGTCTGTGTCCACATGCAGAGCATACCCCCTTCAGATAACATCAGCATTTCCAAAATGAAGCAAGTTACTCCGAGAGAAGAGCCTTTAGATACCTTTGGTTTTTCCCCCTGCCATGCACATGTTCGTGGACAGTCTGTGGCCACTGCTGTGGCCCTCATGTCAGGCCAAGGGCCGCAGCAGTGTACCACACATCTCCCCCGGCCCCACGTGGGGTACCCATGGCCATAAGACTTATTCTTTATGTTTTGCTTGGTTGCCAGTTCAAAAGTCTCAAGTAATCTGAGCACTGGGGTGTTTTTGCAGTCCACTGGAATTAAAAGCATGAAACAAAAGGGGGTGTGACATTTGTGGGATCAGAGCCTGCTGGGATAGTTTTGCATGTTTGTATACAGCAAAGGAAGCCAAAACTGGTTGAACCTTGTTCATGCTGCACTTTGGGACTCACTCTTGAGCAAGTTACTTAAACAGCAACTGGGTTTTCTTTCAGAAAGAGTTGTTTCACTCCAGAAGAGAGCCCAGGAACAACCCATTTCTGTACTGTGAGTGATAATAGATAAAAGGACTTGTGAGCAAGGCTGCTCAACAGTGCAGGCATTGAATCTCCTGCTACTGACATTTATTGCAGGAATTCATGGGACCAAAAAAATTACTTCGCCTGGAATTGCTGAACACCTTCCTTGGTATCTGTACAGTCATCTGAGCACACCATGCTCTTTATGCCTGCAATCAGTTCTCTAGCCAAGCCTTTTGTCCAGTAGCCTGCCTTTTTAATGTCATATAATTGACAGTTCTGGAAGCTTTTTTACATGGGTCAAGATGATTTTTAGTGCTGGAGTGGGTGTGTGTGAGAGCAAAATCACCTCAGGTGTTGCATTATTGCTGGTATGTGATGTATTCAAGCATATAGGTATGGAATAGGTAGTTTGATTATCTGTGAATGGATAAATTCTGGAAATGCATTCTAAATTGTTATTCTTCTAATTCTGTAAATTATAGAAACCACAGAAATTGTAGAAAATAAATTGCATGTTTAGTTACATGAAAATACCTTCTGCTGTAATAGTGGAAAATATGCAGCACTAAGAAATGTGAAAGGAAGGTATTGGTGTGAGCTGTTTATTCAATGCTGGGTTGCAGTTGCATTATTTCTATCAAGGCTTCTTGCAATGTGAGGAAGACACTTGGCTTTATGATTTAGGAAAATCACTACAGGAAAGACGCCCTGCTCCACTCATCTTCAAAGGGCTGGATTTGGATACCACTTTTAAGGAAAACAAATTCTGGTGAGTGTCTTCCTTAGTCTTGTCACAAAACAGTCAAGGTGTGGCCTGTATGGTTCCTCAGAGGGCCACCAGACCAAAGAGATGCCAGGATGTGGAGGTGGCGAGGGTGACCACAGTGGTGTGAGGTTCACCTTGTAGGAACAGCCCCCAGGGATGGTCATGCAGGTGCTGCCTGTGCTAAACCTGAGCTGTGTTTGCATTTGCCATGACTGCCTCTCCTTTTCACTCAGGGCTAGGAGGAAGTGCTTTTACTTCCTTGTTTTATGGCTGTAGCCACAGCACTGAATGCCAGTGGAGCACATCCAAAGATGCCAACGTTGGTAGCTGACAGCACAGCTCAGGACTGCAAGTGGACAAGTTTATCACGTTTGGAAAACTGCTAGAGTGGGATCCAGCTTTCTGTAGCTCTGGAGTCTCAAATGAGACACTGTAGAGTACCCACTTGGCCTAAAGCTGCTGCCATAGAGGAGCACAGGTCTGGGTGAGTATGTTAAGTCTGCCAGCCCCCTGCAAGTGTCTCAGATACTCTACAACACCTTAGATTAGTTTAGTCAATGAATCCCACCTGTTTTCACAATGGACAATGGTTTTGATGGCTTTTAAAACACCCATCATGCACAAGAAATCACAAAATCATGAGATCGACTGAAATGGTCTGATAGTTAAAAATCCAGATCTTCTCTGTAGGTGTTTGGAGAATGTTCAGCTTGTGTATTTAATCTTTTTCTCTCCTACTATGGTACCCAGAAATGTTTCTCGAGTCACCTAACGTGTTCCTGTGCTCACAGATGTAAAGCTAGAGAGTAGTTCATAAAATTCTTGAGAAACTCATGAAAACTGACAACAGGAATTCAGGCAGTTCTTGTGTCTTACCATGTTGTAGGGAGGAGTGACAAAATACGGTAACCCTTTAGGATGTGATACGATTTCTTCAGACTTAACTTCCACATGGACTTTATTCAATTATTATGCCAATGAAGGTGTAATGTTGTCAGTACAACATAGGCTGAGTTCAGTTGCAATGGGATGGACTGTCCCTGTAAGCAAATTGTTCTGTTTAATGTGTGAAATGACTGTACCCTACTCTATCCAAATTAGTTATATTGCTTTAATTTCTCTAAGTCTTGATACCAAGCTGTCCTTGGACAGGTATTGGTGGAGCCTACACTTTCATCTCTACAATTTCATTTCAGGATAAATGATGGTGAAAGGCAAGAGTCCCGTTTTGTGTCCTTCCTCAAACCAGATGGGCTCAAAAGAAAAGCTACATAAGCAAGTAAAAGTAAAAAGAGAACTCCCATGGAAAAAAAGTGGTCAGCCTTAAGCAGATTTCAATAGACTTTCTAACTACAGAGTAGGATAAAAAGTGTTCTCCTTTTCTATTGACCTTAAAAGTGGCTACTTTATACCCATTCCAGAGGAAATAAATGAGGTTGAACTCTTCTAATAGAAAATCAATGCACTCCTCCATGAGTGTGAACTTTGCAGGAGCAATCTGGACTGGACGAAGTCCCTGGGCTGATGGTACTGCCCATTTTTCTGCTGTTACCATTCCTCCTTGGAATCCATGGTAAGTGCTTCTGGGAAGCAGTAGAAGCATGCTTGCATCTCCTGCTGTGACACGGGAATTCTTTTAGTTCCTTTTAATTAGATCGAGAGGCTGAACTTCTTCAAGTCCAGTTCTATCCGGAGTTGCAGGTATGTAGGGAAACTTTTGTTAGGTGTTTTTCTCACCAACTTACTTGTTAAATCAATTGCTCTGGGGTCGCCAACATAAGGAGGACATTCCCCTGGAATGAGTCCAGGGAAGGGCCACGAAAATGATCAGAGGGCTGGGCACCTCTCCTGTGAAGGCAGGCTGAAACAGTTGGGGTAATTATTGGCAGAAGAGAAGGCTCCAGGGAGACCTTAGAGCACCTTTCCATAAGAAAGATGGGGAGAGACATTTTAGCAGGGCCTGTTGTGATAGGACAAGGGATAATGGTTTTAAACTAAAAGAGGGTAGATTTAGATTAGATATAAAACAGATTGCTGGGTTTTTTACAATGAGGGTGAGGAAAACCTTGGAGAGGTTGCCCTGAGAAGTTATAGATGCCCTATCCCTGGAAACATTCAAGGCCAGATTGGACAGGGCTCTGAGAAACCTGGTTGAGTTGATGTCTCTGCCCATAGTAGGGGGTTGGACTAGATGACATCAAAAGATTCCCTCCCAGCCCAAACCATTCTATCACTCTCTACAAAGAGCCTATAAAGCAAATGAAACCAAATTAAATCCAATTGTCAGCCAGCTCAGCACTTTCTTACTTGCAGCCACTCTATTTGCCAGATGTGGCACAGTATGGATTGCCTGAACAGTGGCAATAGTTTCTTCCTGAACATCCTCTTCTGTATGCAGGTAGAACAAAAACATGCTTTTACCACACAAAATTCAGGCTTTTTGCATTCAGCCCCAGGCTTCTTATATAAGCAAGTGGAGAGTGACTGAGGCTTTCTTCTGAAGCCTTTCCAGCCCTGCTGCCTACAGACATGCCTAGTGAGACCCCTCCTCCATCAAGCTGGGGCACACAGCAGGGCGCTGTGCATTCCCAGTCCTGCCTCCAGCTCCTCCATGCTCTGGCTTTCACCTGAGCTTCTCT